CTAGTTTATAACTTTCAATACAAATCCCGAATCAAACTTATGATTCCCATGAAAACATCAATTTTGCAATAAACTATTCATTTACGGGAAAATATATAACTTTTAAAAATATATTTTTGGTCCTTAAACTTTTCTAAATTTATACTTTAACTATTAAACTTTTAAAATTTACATTTTAGTCACCATCCAAAATTTTGGGGTGTTACAATTATTCCCCTTAAAGAAAATTCGTCCTCAAATTTTGAACACATACTAGATTAGAACAATAAGGAAACTTACTTAAAAGGAAATAATGTGTATTTACATGTTAAAAACATATATTCGCACAAACACGACAAACAATAACAATATGCACATATACATTTTATTTTCAATCACTCAATAATTTAAATAAATTTTTCACATTTTTATTCATCATTCACAATTTTTTTTTATTCTAACCCTGAGCGACATTAAATTTAAAGACTCACCTAAAAATATTTGTCACATCAACAAAAAAAAATCCTAAAAATTGCACTTTTTAAAAAATGCCTCCTACATGACATATCTTTACCAAAAGAATATCTTCTTTTTGAAAAAAATCTATTTGAATCACGTTTAAATAAATAAATATAAGAAGAGTATTATTTGCATAAATTAACCTTGGTTACGATTAGGTACCTTAAATCACATATTCAATAGTGATTTTGAAATTTTTGTATGAACTGAACGAACTCAGTGATAAAGGAATTATTGTTATTTTTTGAAATTTCGAGTTCGAATACCAAAAATGTTAAGAATGTAAACGTTCAATGTCATATAGTTGAGAGTGTATTTTTAAACAGATACTGTTTTATATTTACCATTAATAAAAAAGAGAAAATTTTGAAAGTGTCTTGAATCTTGTTAAAAATGCATATCAAGTTTTTCAACATTTTCTGTGTCTGGGCTTGTTTCCTCCTTTATCTCGTTCGTCTCTCTCTAAAGAATATCGAGAGTTTCTTTCTTTACAATCTCAGAGTGATGCCATGAAAGGCTTTACCAAATTTATCATTTATTCGGTTATAATTATTTTATCTAGAAATGACACTTTGCTTTGTATGAGCAATTTCATTCCTTCGAAGAATACTAAGTGCGTTCGTATAGGAAGTTCCCCCAGTGCATCAAATATGCTATTTAAGATGTTTAATTGGAATCAGACACCACAATCATGCATATCATGTCTATTAAAAGCCGACAGACATGGAGGAAAATGTTGATTGGAGAAGAAATTAAAGATTAACAATTATAGTAGAATCAACTCCAATGATAAAGATTAACAATTATAGTAGAATCAACTCCAAGGTTGTATATCCTTACCCAAATCTTCATCAACTCCAAAGAGTATTCATCCATTCCTTTAGTCGGATCGTATTCTACCAGGGAAAAATAGTTCCTATCAAATGTTTAAGGTGATCTGTTAATAGCCACCTTCATAGCACCCTCACTATTAAACTCGAATAAAAATGTTCCAGGTTTCAATTCCTCAATATCATGCACATGTTGGTACCCCAGATATTTCGGAATACTTGGGTCATCGTACTGACATCAATTTTCGTTGGGTGATGAGTTTCCCAATCAGACAGTGGGGTTAATCTACTGCTTCCTCTCCCACGAAATCTCCCAAGAAGATCCACATCCTCTTCTGTCGTGAAGGTAATTTTTTTCTAGTTTCTGAAGTAGTGAATCCGCCATGTAAATTCGTAACGGTTGATCAAAGAAGTGTTGTGATAGAAATAGTTCAAACCAGGTAGATCGAGTATAATTCTTATGGTTGATTGAATAAATAGGTCACCATGATTATAGACTGTTCAAATGCTTTTGATTTAACGATTATTTATTAGTTCTAGGGTTCTTTATTTTGTCAAGGAAGGAAGGTCAAGATTATATTTCAAATGCTCGCTTCTCTAAATCTTAATTGAAAGTTTTATAATGATATTTAGTATTGGTGTCAGTTAAATGTCATAATAATTATTCATAAACTGATAAGATAGATAAACTCAATTAATTTTAAACGATTACATGAAATCTATCAGAAATTATACTAATGGGTTGTAGTTTTTTCAAGAGGGGGCTCAGGATGTCCGATGTCCAAAGATATTCTTTTAAGACCTTGACCGCATAGATGTTATTTGGAGATTTTGATTGTGCAAAGTGAAAATCAATCTTATGAAGGAGAATCGATTCGGAAGGTGTAGACACTCGTTTTTGTCCGGGTCTACAAAAATATTATTAATTTATTATTATTATTATTATTATTATTATTATTATTATATTTATTTTGTTTACATATTTTGCAGGCCAAATGTAGCCTGATTACAAACAAGCCCATGTAACACAGACCCTCAATCGAGGCCCAAAACCCTCAACCCAACCCTGACCCAAAAACATAACCCACCAGCTATCACAGTAGACCCATCAGTTAAACTCGAACCGGTCTAGACCCGACCTGAAGCCCGAACTGACCTAGTAACCCTAAGCAGATTAGGGTTTCTACCCTAATCCTTTAACCCTAAAGCAACCGCCACCAGAGCTGCACGAGGACTTCATCGCTGTACTCCGAGCGCGCGTGAGCCAGCCACCGATTATTTCCCGCTCAATGGTATCATCTATAGTGACCGAGAGCTCATCTATCAGTCAAGCAACAGTGGAAAAGCAGAGAAAAAAATCAAACGTTATCCCGAGGCAATCTAGCCTTTGTCAACTCTATCTCACCAATGGTAGAAATATCATCTCAACTCAATCACCACAATGAGGAACATAAAATAAGAGAAGATAGAGAGACAGAGGCAGAGAGGAGCATTCAGGACGGGAAAGAGAAAACCAAAGAAACAAAGAGGGATTCAAAAAAGAGGGAAATGAGAAACTATTCGGGGAAACCAGAAACGAAAAAACAATGAGTTTAGGAGAAAAATTGAAAGAAAAAAGAAAAAAATCAAAGGAAAAAAAAAGAAAACAAGAGAGATATGGGGTTTTGAACCAAAAAAAAGAGAGAGATGTTAGATGTTTACCTTCCTAAGCCTTTGCCGGAGCTGTGAGTTGTTGGGCCTCGGTTGGTGAACCGATTCATGGTCGAATGGGGAGGGAACCTTGTTTCTTTTTTAGGGGTTATAGGGTTTTTTTTTAGGGTTAGAAGGGTGGCATGTGGGGTCGTTTAGGCTGCTAGTTTCATGGTAAACGGTGGTCGATGTGCAGTTTTGGGAGTTTAGTGGCTTTCGGGGGGTGGGGAATTTAAAGGGTTGAGAGAGTTCTCCCCTCTCTAAGAAAAAAGAGAGAGAGAGAGAGAGAGAGAGAGACAAAGTGGAGAATATGAGAGAATGGTCGGATTAGGGTTTAGGGTTGGCCTTATATAAAACGTGCAAAACGACATCGTTTAGATGAGGGGCAACCAGGCAATTTATCGTATGGGTAAACTTCACTCCGTGCCATTATTGTTTTGTAACTTTTTATTTTAGTCACTAGAAAAGCTTTGATCCTTGTTATTTCAAGGTCGTTATTTATGTAATATTCAATTTAGTCATTGAATGAAATTTGTTTGTTCTTGTTCTGGGCTTAAACTTTTGACATGGCTGTGATTTAGTCCCTATTTTGTTTTATCTCATTACTTTGTCAATGTTCTGGATTTGGATGGCTAATCTGCAAAATGTTCATTTTAATCATCTTTTGGTTTCCTTTTGTTTAAGTACATGATTAATGCTTTAATATTTGTTAAATTTCAATTTAGTCTTCTTTCTTAATTTTTTTTGTTTAGGTTTATTTTTGTTCTTAGTCCCTATATATTTTAGTAAAGTTGTAAATTAATCATTGGTAAATCTAAAAAAATAATAAATGGATTATTGCTTGTCTATCCCTGTGAGCTTGTTTTGTTGGTTTAATATCTATTTTATTCATTTTTTACATTACACTTTAATATAGGTGTATGTGTTATTATGCATGCTATTTCAAATATTTATATGTATATGGTTATGTGTAAGGATATTTATGTGTTTCATGTAGTAAAGTTAGGTACATTTTTTAACTTAATATTAAATGTTATTTTATTTAATAGTTTGTTAAATGTCACCTACTCGAATAGTTTCAAGAATAACGATTTGTATAATGACCGTGGAAAGCATCACTTGGTCGAAGTGATGCGATCCGATACGACATTTTAACAAAAATGAAATTTGAAATAAATCAATTTTAGTTTGTTAGTTGTTAATTCTTTCTTATTTTACACTCAACGATGCAAGTCATGTTTCTATAAATGGCAATGTATTTTATTATACGCAAATGTTGTTTCTATATTTATATTCGATTCGTGTTTTTTTTAATAAATGAGAAGAGAATATTCTTTAAAGATAAGAAATAGACGAGTTAGCTTTCCTAACGGATGATTGTTAATCTCGAGATTTCTTTTCAAGATAAATAATTTTCTTTGATAAATAATTCGAAGCAATTTGATAAAAGGATCATATTTTAACTGTATATTCGATTCATAAATTCCATTACTACGACAACATGTAAACGACACAGTACTAAATTTTGGGCGCTATGGGGTGCTAACCCTTCCCCACGCGTAAACGACTCCGAAACCCGTTTTAATCGAATTTCTGGTAAACGCATACCGAATTTTGTCTTAAAAACGATTTTTACTTAAAATTGTTTTTAAAATACGTTTTTAGGTATTCGACCTATCTAACCCAAATGTCGATGGCAACTTCTTTTTAATTTAATTCCAATTAAATGGTTATGACAGAAGGAATATAACACTTGTATTTGAGTTGAAGGGAAGTTCTTGAAGTTATCAGATTCCAACATTTCCTTGTCTTGATGAACAAGGATTCATGAAATTTGTTTGAAGAAGCTTACACAGGTGAGGCACCTATAAGAATCACCATTAATTATCAAAACAAGTACTGAACTAAGGGAACAGGTCTCTAGCATCTACGCTCTTCGAGTTAAAAAAAGGGTTGGTTAGTGTCACTGTTCTCCACCAACATCTAATCATCTTCACAAGGCATCATATTTAGATCAGGCAATAAGAAAACACTCTCCTGCTCACTACAACCAGCCTTGCACAAATCCGGCATCGGTTTCCGCTCATCAATGGGCAGAGTTGAAGGATTGCAGACAACACCAGAGCCTATTTTCTCCTCTCCATCGACATTTGAACTCCACGTCTTAGTATCAATCTGCAATAATGCAGGCGTACATTAAAAACAAGACGTACGCAAGATTTTATATTAAAAAGGTAAACCTATAAAATTTTATGACGAATGAAGTTAAAAAACTTTAGAAAATGAAAACATATCATCGATAGAAAATAAAAAATAAAAAACATCTAAAATATATCCACAAAATTGAAATTTTTAGGAAGGGGACAATTGACCCTCCCCACCCACTTGAATTCATCCAACACCCTTTTCAAATATACACTTTCTTCCAATAGCCGATTTTCCTCCTCCTTAAGTTCTGCAAATGTCTGAAACACAAGAAATTGAAAATTTATGTTAATATGTGAACTTAAAAAACTATATTTAAAATTTAAAACTAATGAAAATCTTAAAGATATAAAATTTAATTTTTAATAAAAAATAATTGAACTTTATAAAAAAATTAAATTTTCAAAATATACAGCCACAACATACAACCCTCGTCCTTTTACATTTACATGCATCATAAACTAAATTGACCTTTTTTCTTGATCTTTTGGTACTTGTGCTAGTGGCCTCATTCGCAGTAGTGCCCTACAACATCCATCAACAATTATAAAAATTAAAGCCCATCAAAGCAAGTTGAAGATTAAGAAATAAAGATTAGTTATTTTTCTCCACTCGATAAAAAAAAACCTTAACAGCTCACCAGAAAAGGGAAAATTAAAATTAAAAATAAATATAAATATATATAATTATATACAAATCCTTAAATTGCTCCCAGCCAGTAGTAACACGCCACGTCATACAAAGAAGGATTTTTCTACCTCACGTCACGTGACATAAAGCACATGAGGCTTCCTGACATGACGGGCTTTATAACCTTAATCTTTCTTGCATGATTAAAAAAGAAAAACCCTCGCATAACTCAGAGCTATATTTATTCCTTTTCTGACTACATCTTTTCCATATCGGACGGTGCATGGTCCAACCGATCCTAAATGTTGCACAACAGTGGGGCCATGCATAAATAAAAGAATGGATAAACACGATAGAAACCAACACCGATGCCATCCGTATAGATAGATATATAGATATGGGAGGAAGACAGACCCACCGAATTCGTTTGCCTTTGCGTCACACCTGATAATCTCCTCCCTTTTTTTCCATCTACCCAAAAAGAAAACATCACACCAAACCCAAAACGCAGTCCCACAGTTATCTTTTAATGGACCCCCATCCCATCTATGAAATACTTTTTGGGTAAAATACAATTAAACTATGTTCAAAATTTTATTTTTATCGATAATGTTTTAAAAGTTTTGAAATAATTATCAAATTATTTAACTGTTTTTAAATGATCATGATACTATAATAATTATAAAAAATTGATAAATTTAAATAAATTTTGAATATAATTAAGTGAGTTATGTTGTATTTTACCCTTTTTGGTTGAATCATAGAAAAGAAACCTAAAAAAAAGAGATCACCCACTAGATGGGCTGTGTGGTGAGACTGGGACCACTGAACACTTTTTTTTCCTGATGAAATTGTCCTTTACTGAATACCATAAACTAGAAGTGGCAACTAGAATCTAAGCAAGTGTGGTTCGATTTACTAAGTCTAAGAAATGCCAACAAGAGAATGACAGGTGAGGTGACCGGAAAAGAAAACGCTTCCTATCTGCTTATGCAGCTGATCTCACGTGTTAACCGTGGAATTTGTAAAAATACCAGCGAATTTTTAGTCCGGATGAAAATGCCTGAAGACATCCAACCCAGAAACGCAAAAACAAAAAATGATTACATTTGACCACGGTGAGTTATTGAAAGGGCAACCGTCATCTGGAGATTGAGAACATGAAATCCAGGAAAAAGAGCATCGTTTTACATGAAAAGAAGGCAAACACTAATGAGAAGATATGGGGTTGAAATTAACATCGTGGGTGTTAAGTACTTTAACATGTCACGCAAGAACATTTTCATCTCAGACGTAGCAAAAAGAAAAAAGAGAGCATCTCCATATCTCAGATGAACGAGAAAGAAAGAGTGGGAGAGAGTGTGAAAAATACCTTGGATCTGGAAGGTGCAGCTGGTGGAGAGCCACGGAGGTGACTGCTACAGGTTTCTTCAAAACCATCGGCGGCGAGAGGAGATGCGGCGCCTCCACCACCGCTCCAAGAAAGAGGCGTGGTGGGGCTACCTCTACTGCCGACGTTGAAATCTCCACCATCTATCTTAGCGTCGCAAGCCATCAGCGTGGGTCTAGACCTGGGCTGACGCATCCCCCATCTAAGAGCAGCCACCGCAGATTTGGGAGGCCGTGACGCGTCCTGGGTTTGCTTGAGCCTTACGAGAAACTCCACAACCACGTTGTCGTTGGTCATCGCCTCACGAACCCACTCATCTTTCGCCGTCGTCTTCGTCATCCTCCCGACGAACACAAAAGCTGAGGTTAATAAAGAGGTGGATGTGAAGAAAAGAAGAGGTTTACAAGAGAGATATAGAAGATACAGGGAAAGGCGGTGGCGAGTAAAGAGAGAAAGGTTGAAAATGTGAAAGAAAATGACGGGGATGGGTGTGAGCAATCAGCTGTCGTTGGTCATCGCCTCACGAACCCACTCATCTTTCGCCGTCGTCTTCGTCATCCTCCCGACGAACACAAAAGCTGAGGTTAATAAAGAGGTGGATGTGAAGAAAAGAAGAGGTTTACAAGAGAGAATATAGAAGATACAGGGAAAGGCGGTGGCGAGTAAAGAGAGAAAGGTTGAAAATGTGAAAGAAAATGACGGGGATGGGTGTGAGCAATCAGCAATGTATATAAATACGAAGGCGCCTTTTCCTTTTTCCCTTTCCCTTGTTTGCTCACTGGAACACTCTTTGTTTGGTCCACCTTGGACTTATTTTACAAATTTTAAATGCTGGAATTTTCATTTTAATTTTTCAAGATGGAGCCCATAATATAACCATGGTCATCTCCACTAAAACGGCACACATGAATTGAAAATAGTGGGCGGTCATGCAATGTAATTCGATAAATTAATTTGTTTGTTATTGGTTGTATTAAGCGGATGTATCTTTGTTGGTTAGTGATTAAATTTTAGGGTAAATTAAGTATTTAATACTTAAATTATTAATTTTATTCTATTTTAATATTTAATTTTTTAATTTTATAAATTATACATAACATTTATTTTTTAATTTGTTTTAATATCTCGTAGTTAGAACCTTAATTGGTGATTTGTAAACGGTAACTTTTTATGAGTAAATTACATCATTCATCACCTAACTATTTTCTCACTCCTATTTTAATCACTAAAGTTTAATTTTTTTAATTTAATTACTTAGCTTTCAAATTACTCCTAATTTAATCATTCTTACTTTTAAATTTATTTTTTTATTTTTAATTATATATTAATAAATATCATGTCACAAAAATTATTAATAAAATAAATTAGAGTGATTAAAATAGGAGCAATATGAAAGTTGAGTAGTAAATTGAACTTTTCTAAACTTTAATACCGAATTAGAAGTGAGAAGATAATTGAGTGATGAATGATATAATTAACTTATAAAAATGCAGTGTCGTTAAGTTTTTAGCAGTGAGGTACTAAAATGAAATAAAAATTAAACATTATGTATGATATTGAAAAAATAAAAATATTATGTACTAAAATGTACCAAAACCGATAGTTTAAGTACTAAATACATAATTTACCCTAAATTCTATTAATTTTAATTAAGATAAAATCGTATCAATTGAGTTTTAATTTGATTAATACCTCTTAAAAGTTTAAAAAATAATTTACTTTTAATTTAAAGAGGAAGGGAATTGGATAATGTAAATGATATGTATTAGAAAATCTAGTGAACTACTATTAAGTTTTAGGTTTAAGTATATATTTTGTATATGGAATGGACTAATATCTTCAGTTGAGTTGTATTTAAAGATCACTGTTTTTCAAATTAGTATTTGAATTATACATATTATTTAAAGTTAGTATTTAAATAATTTTTTCTCTCAATTTGATATATGAAATATACACATTCTTTCAAATTGGTATCTAATAAAATTTTGGTTTTATTTCATTCAAGTAAAATAATCATAATGTATTGAGTATTGTTATTTATTTATATTTATGTGTTGTATTTCATTGAATATTACTATGATTGTCTCACTAACCGCATACTTAGCATGTTATGATTTTCACACGTAAGTAAAACGCAGAAATTTGAGTAAGGAGTGCTTGGCATCCTATCTATCGAGGATTATATCTACAATATCAGTAATGACATCTATTTGATGTATTTTAATTTTACTAGTTTACATGTATATGTTAATAATGGATGGTCATAAATTAGTTTAGACCTAGTTGTAATAGTTTATGTCTAAACTAGTTTATGTTATTAAAACGAATGATGGATAGTTATATTAGTGTTGAAAAATAGTTAAATGAATTACATGTATAATACCCGATAAACAATAAAATAAAAATGGAGAAACTTGTTAAGGTTCAGTTTAGGTAGTTATAGTTATGAATTGCTAAGTTGTTGTCTAATATTGAATTTAGTTTGAATGTTGAAAAATTAAAAAGTGATTTTACGTGATAAATTGATTAATTGTTTAATGGTGATTAAACCTATATTAAAATATGTGGTAATGAGTAATATTTGGATAAATAGTTATTAGTGAATGTTAGTAATTCAGTTTGTGACTATAACACCCTCAACTCGATGCGGGTGACCCGATCCGATTCGATGTGTCACATTAGGATCGCTGGAGCGACCCACCATAAAAATACAAGAAAATTAAAAAAATTTGTAAACCGTTTTAAACTGTAAAACAATATTATAAATAAAAACACAAATCCATAAAAACATGCATTTATTAAAATTAATATACAATATCTAATCTAGTTTAAACTCTAATATACAAATAAAAAGTGACATACATGCTCCCTCTACATACATATACCGTACTCTACAAGCAACGCCAAAGGAATTCCATTACTAATGTCAATAATGCACATGACCAAACCCTTTAACCTAAAATGGTGAACAACAAAGTGAGCTTTGGGAAGCTCTCAATAATACAAAACTACCAAATTAATGCTATAAGACAAGTAGATATGATAAGCATAACATTTCCTCAGTTATCCAAACATATACAGATCATAGAGATAGGTTGAGGTTCTACTGAATAACTCCTCAAGTGATAGACAAGAAGCTTATAATTCAAAAGGAACATTTCCGAGAGAGATAGTTTCAGAATATTGAGTTGGGAAGTCTAGTGTGTTCTATTGAAGTCGGAAAATAAGTGTAAAACTAATCTAAAAATAGTAGTTCATTTCTAAAAAAAACATTTTTTAAAAATCACAGAAATACCCTCCACCCAAACACCGATATGCAGTTTCTCAAAACTGCATCCATAAGGATTTACCCTAGGCCAATTGGGTGTAGGAGCCAACCTAAGGGAGTACCTTGGGGATTGTGGGCCTACCCAAGGGTCACCTTAGGTCCGTAAGGATTTACCAGCTTGATAAGAGTTGTACCTCCATACTCTAGTATCCTACCTGTAACACCCTCAACCCATACCCAACCCGGATACGAGTCCAGGATGTCATATTGACTAAACAAAACAATACTCTTAAAAAACCGATAAAACATTTGAACTTATATTATTAAAATACAATAATATACATATCTTAATACAAGTTTATCAAAATACTCAGAGCGTACACAACTTAACATTCTATTACATGCCAACACTGATTTACATAACAAAATGACATACTATTAAGTTGTTTCTGATCTGGTAGTTGCAGGAGTAATGTTGTCTAGCTGCTTAACTTGTCTCGTCTACTTTCTTGAATCCTACGTGTGAAACACTCACACGCTAAGTCATCGACTTAGTGAGGCAATATAATAATGATAACAAAGAAATGTAATGGAAATGCCATAATTAAATGGAATGAGATGAAATCAAATACTAAACCATGCAGTTTATATCACCATGCTCTTTACCTGTCAGCATAATATATTGACATTCATGAATTCATATTAATAAGATTATTGGCCCATGATACCATACTGAGAACCTAATGTATGTGAGTACTGTGAGGTTGTGCACTATACTAACACCACAGCTCGTATAAATGCACCGAAGTGCCACGTAGAATTGCACCGAAGTGCCATGTAGAATTACACCGTAGTGCCATATAAGATTGTCCCTAAGGACCATGTAGATAATTCCTTAAGAATCATATACATATGCCAAGGATCAAGTATGTGTCTTAAAAGACCTCACACATGTTCCAAAGAATACATATATGTCCCGAAGGACCGCGTAGACCTTCTACTCTTGGCATGCCAACTATACCTATAGTTCTCATCTACATAACATGGGCTTCCACCATTTCCATAATTTATATTGTATAGACATATAATTTCCATATCTTTATCACATAAACATATCATGTTCCATCACCTTATCACATAGCTTATATAATCTTTCCTGCATATTCATGTCACTTAATGCATATAATATGAATTCATATCATGTATCATAATATGAAATGCGATCATGTATCAAAATATTGAATCTAGACTTCTCACAAGTCTAGAAATGAATAGAATACATATTCATGCTATGTATATGCACTCACCTATATTTCCTTGTTTTTTCCTCGATCGATCTTACGAGACAATTATTCTGGAACTTGTTTAGGCTCGGTATCTATAGAGTAATTCATTGATGCTAATCAGTATACTAATGAATGTATTCTAACTATCATTTCTTGGGCTAAAAGAAAATCCATTTTCATCTTTTAATGAAGGTATGCATCGATGCACCACACCATGCATCGATGCACCACACCATGCATCGATGCATAAATCCTATTCGATGTTTATATTTAAGGGGGTGCATCGATGGCATGCGATACACCTTGAACAATTTCTGGGATTTATCCTTGATGCATCGATGCACATAGCCCAGAAATGTCATTTTAAGCATGAAAATCTCTTTATAATATTCTCTACACTTTATATTTCACATCCTTTTCTATCCCTAACTTGCATACTCTTATTTAAACTAATTATTAGTCATTCGATACCTTTAAAACTTAGAAATCCAATTCTCCATATAAAATTTAAGAATTTCACTCAATTTCCAACATGTTCTAAATCGAATTCTAACACTTCATATCCTTTAATTAGCTTGATTACAAGTCAAATCCCACTTATAATTCTTATTATGAACTATATTCCAATATTTCACTTTTCTACTTCCTTTCTTTAATCCGTCCTAACTCCATCATCTTTTGATTTTAAGATAACCTAAGCTTTCCTTAAGCTTAGTTATCATCTAATGATCAATAAGAAACCTTAAATTCATTAAGAGTTTGATTAACAAGAAAACTCACCTTTAACTTTGTCTTCACGGGGAAGAAGAAGAAAGAAGAATAATAGAAATCTGGAAACTTTTGGTCT